GCCTTACGAAAAAGGGCATGCAGGCCTCCTTGTAACCAAACTCTCACTATCGCCCCCCTCCCCCTTCTCCATATGCTAGCAGTGTCTGAAGAGATAAGGACGTCCAATATCGCGCAGGAGTATTACCCTCTAGCCCAGGAAGATTTATTGGATTTCACACATCATATTGCGATACGGGCAGGCAAGTAATTTTCTCGCTCTTCTGAGGAGAGCATGCATCAACAATCGGCTGAAATTCGAAGCAGAAATTCGCATCTTCGGGAACTGCTCTCATGCGGAAGAGAGACGTGATATGAAAGTGAGAAGATAGGATGAGGGGGCTAAGACGTGGCTTTGGCTTAAGACAGCCAAGTATTATGACGAAGCCTGTGGAAGAAAATTACATTTCTGTAAATTGTGAAATTTGCAGTGCTTTTATTTTGCAGAAAGAAAGTTCAGAGATAAAACAATTCTGTAGCATATTAGCCACACAAGGAAGACATACTTGCGATGTCATGAATTTGTAAGGGAGTGGTTACCAGGAAAATAAAATCAGTGCAGAAGTTTCAAGATTAATTGTATTGCACTAGTTACATACTTAAAACTGTAAAATATATACCATATATTCCACTGCAAATATACTTTTTATCTTCAGTTCTATCTCAACATATGATATATTGTACATAATAAGATACACCTATAGGTCACAAAAAAAACAACATCTATGCTCGTTGGAAATTTTTGAAAATGCCATAGCATACCACTCAATCACTTATCTTAAGTACAGGTCAAAGTACAGAATGCCTGAACCAGGTGTGCAGAAGCAATTAAGTTGGGCATTTAATATGTTGACTGTCCTGTCTAGTTTACAAACATAACTTATCAAAGCCAAGTGAAATTAAACAGACATAGCAATTCTATAAATGACCTAGTGGTCTAGAGGTTTATATTACTCAAAATAGAAACAGCCATTTAAAACTTCAAAAAGCAGCCACCATGGAGCCCACATTTACGTCTTTCCAAGACCTACCCACATACCAAACATCATCACAATCCATCCAGGACTTTAGCTGACCACAAATATGCAGAAACACACACAAACACAGACTGACAAAAAACCATAGCACCAACATAAATGAATGCATTTACCACTAATAAGTAATACATGCCAAAGCCATAAAACCGACTGTCAATGACTGATTAAATGTTGCCAAAAAAAATGTTTGCACACGTGGAGACCACTTTGTCAGCAAGCAGGCAGGTCAGTTTATGGGGGCAGGTAAATATTTGCTGTTGAAACCAACAAGTGCTGATATGAGAGGATTTAGGAATGCTCAGACATGTTCAGAGGCACATCTGATGCATTCTGGAGGGCCTGCAAGGGGGGGTCCCGACAACGCTCTACGCTGAATTCAGAAACCTCTCGATTACGCTTTACGATAAATTCCAAGTGGCTACAACGCATTACGTACAATAAAACGGCGAATACGTTCTACTCAAAATACGAAAAGCTCTACGTCTACGCTCTACGTAGAATTAAAACGGCCGATTACGCTCTACGGAAAAGGGCTTGCGGGCACCCATTCTGGACTGCATGAGGGAAAATGAGGTTTTTGCTGTGTATCTGTCTCTGTATCTTTATAGCTGGTATAACTGCCCCTTGGCATAACACACCAGCTTTGCACTAAAATTGCAGGCACGCATTTGAAGTTCACTGTTTAAAACAATTCTGTAGTACAATAGAAACAACATATACATGTCATGATATCACACCACAAAAATTAAAAAAACTGTAAAAATAAAAGCATTTACAGTAAACTAAGGTCTTCCTAGCTCTTGACTAATGAACTTGGGACCATTGCTGAAGGTTTTTCAATCTGGCTGATCACACAGATGAGCTGGCAGGCTGGAGCACCTTATCTGCTGTGATGATGTCCATCACCTGCTAGTGGAGGGATGGGGAAAACTGAGCCTGATATCATTATGTTTAATTTGATAATACAAACACCTGCAAGACTTAAAACACATGGATAGAGGGATAGGAACAGAGGGAATAGAAATATAGGGATAGGGGATAGGGAACAGGGATAGAGGGATATTTAGGATACAGGGATGGGAATAGAGGAATAGGGACAGAGAGATAGACAGATAGGGAAAGAATGATAGGGATAGGAGATAGGGAATAGGGATAGAGATAGAGGGATAGGGATAGAGGGATAGAGATAGGCATATATTCTTTTGTGGCAAGGACAGGACTAAAATGTTTTGGAAATCTGAAACCGTTAATGTAGAATAAGTTGGCAACAGGTAGGTTTTTAATGCATAAAACATTCATAATATATAGAATGGCATGTAACATGCAGGTGTGAACATCTACTGTAAATCAATAAACTTTTGCAGTGATGTTATTTTCGCGGCAAGAGGGAAAGGGAGGTGTTTTATATTCATGGTTACAACAATTCTGTAATACAGTAGTCATACAATGAAGACATACATAATTTTATATATAATTGCAGTTTCGTGAATCCTTGGTAGAGAGGTCGAAATGAAAATAAAACCACTGCAAAAATTTCATGAATTACAGTACACAGGTGCAACATAAAGGAACTGCAGTCACAACACAGGTATAGGCCAGGTGGGGACCACACTTTGGTACATGCCAACACATACAGACTGAAATCTGGTCTGTCTACCTGTCTTCCCCATTATCAGCTATCCATCACTCACACTGGGAACAAGCAAGTACCAACGTCATAGCTGTCATTAACAAGTATATCATTCATGAAGGGAGTATAAGAAAATATACAGTTAAACCTGTACAAGAGACCACCTGGCCAATGTGACCTGTGACTCTTTTGGCATCCCCTTTTTTATTTTTCCCCTTGACAATGACACAAGTATTAGGAATCCTGTCTATAATAGTGACCACCTGTCCACATACATTGTAGACTAGATTTTATCAGTCCACGAGGTGGCCATGGTCTTTGGTAGGTTTGACAATATCTACATCAAGCTTCGTTGAACCGGGACGGGGGCCGCTACAAACTTCTGACCTTTGACCCATTGCTCAGTAGCTTAGTGTACAGAACACATACACAATGGCAACCTTGAACTTCAGATAACTAGACTGAAAAATTCCTCCAGGCAATAAATTGTACTGTGTCTAAGAATGAGACTTTTTGTTCACAAGATCACAGAACCCTTTTAGTGCTTGACGTCAAATATAAGCAAACTGCCAGACTGCTATCTCATTCAGACAACCATTAGCTTACAGTTGTCAAAAAGAAACTTTGATATCTCTTTCATGTGGCTGAATAAAAGCTTTCTATTTGGCTTGATATATTTATTATCATTCTGAATGCAACATTAGCAATCATAATGTGACAAGTTATTGGTACTATAAGCGTACATTACTATGTATGTGCAATTGTATGAGCAGGAAGTAAGGTCTTTGATGTGCAAGGCTTTTTTCTAAGAGGATTCTGACATTGCTTAAAGTCACGGGACCCATTTCAGGGCAGCAAACTGGATTTTCTGATCATTTTATCACTGATATCACTGTGGAAACAATTGTATAGTCATACAAGAAAGACATATTCATGTGGTGTCAATTTGAATTCACATTGGAGAATTAAGGGTAAAATATTAAAACAAAACCACCGCAAAAATTTCACATTTTACGGTATCACACAAAAAGTTTGGAACAGTAAGTTAACCACCTTTCCAGCTACCTTTATTTGAAGCACCCTCTAACAAAGAAGTTCCTTGATGGACACTAAAACAGAAAACGTACGAGGCCCACCAGAATTTTATGAGCTGCCGTCCAGCTCTAAATTGGGTACGAGCAATTCAGGAAAGAACGTTGTAAAATCCTCGTCATTATCACAAATTTAACAGTAAAACCCCCACCATTTGGCGTATTAAAACTGCTTTATCAAATGCTAATGTGGATTCTTGATGGGGACTATCTAAAGAGATGGGGCCTGCGGGACTTATGGTACAGCTATCATGCTATTTTATACCTGGGTAATGGGCTAGGAAACCGACCACTGGTCAACTTGACCGACAGTTAAACCACATACACACGAAGGGCTATTAAGTCTCCACGGACGGCCTTGCTAGTAAAGTGACCAATGCTTGAATGTGAGCATTATTACCATACCAAGGGGGAAACCAAAAGTTGATACAGGAATTAAATACAAGATCTGAGAATTTCCAGGTATTATAATTTATAGAATTGCATTCAAGGCATTTTCTTATGAACTCTGGAAATCTTTTGTAGCAGACATGAGTATGTATAAATATACAGAAGTACATCCCAACTTTTGGGCCATTAACATAAAGGAATCAAAATTTATGATAGAACATCAAATCCTGTACTAAAATCTCAAGAAATGAACTCACACAAATAGAAAACATGCTGTGCCTGCAAAAATGGAATAGCCCCAATTCTACAGAACATACATCAGTGATGTCAGCATAAATGGACTAGCCCCAATCCTATAACTGTCCCAGTGAGGATAATAATAATAACAAATGGTTGTATATATCTCTTGGATGGGCCCTAACAACTTACAGTCTCTATATGCATCTATTTTGTTTTACTGTTAAAGGAAAGCCATTAGGAGATGGTGGGTGATACAGATGACAAATACCATCATAAAAGGGTTTGGAATAATACGGTAGGATTTGGACTGCAATCGACTGATCCCTACTGTCTATCACTATTAGCTGTTCAACCAATGGGAGAAGGGCAATTAGCGGTTTGACCAATGAGAAAGTAGCTGCATATAGGTCACATATCGGCATTTTCAAAGTTTCCATTTTGCCTTTCTGCATGTTTTGATACAGTTGCGCAAGGGTCTATAATACATGCTTTTCTTTTATTTTACAGGTGGGGATTATTACCCATGCACTGTAATATGTCAAAGGTCAATTCCATTTACAGTGCACTGTAAAGTTTGAAATTTTCAGTATTTTTGTAAGGTGTTGAAAAGCATACACAAGAGGTTTTACCGTACCTTCTGTGCTGAGGCCAGGACTGGAGGTAAACTTTGCCACATCCACGATTTTCACAGCAAACTGCTGTCCGCTCTCTCGATGGATGCATCGTCGTACAACACTGAACGGTCCCCTGAAACAGACAAACAAAACCATTACACTTTCAGTTAGTTACATTTCCTTCAAAACTTTTGAGCTGAAACTTTTAAACGCTCAACCAATTAACTCCATAAATATCTACTTACGTTTCCAAGGGATTTTATATTTAACTGTTATCACATTGAAAATTTTATGGCCTGCTAAGCGGTCGATCCATTCAAAAAAAAGTCTAGGGTCAGCAGGTTTTTGCTATGGTCAGTCTGGGACCCGAAAACACAGCAATTTTTTTTCCAAGGCCTTAATAGGGAAATCCTTCACAGACTTTCTACGAACAAACTTCATATACCAACTATCAAAAACATTTACAGCGATTACATTTGTACATTCCATTCACAGTCGATTTGTACCAAGGTAACCACATTTACCTGTTAGCTCCCATAAACGCCTACATTTCTACAACAAGGTTAGATGTCGATACAGTAGTAAATGTCCAAGTGTGTCTGCTACACTATGATAAGACATTTTATTGACAAGACTACCCCCCAGATGGATGTGCTATCTAATAATAAAAACCTGGAGGGAAGGCAGACATCATAAAACAAATGCGTGTAATCGATATATTCAACTCGTAGTTGTACCGTGTAGATGTAAATGTGACCAGACAGTATAATACCAGTAATGTCTTCAACTTCAAGTAACTGTAGATTTTATGACTTTTTTTAATGAAAACTTTGAAAATGTGTGAAAAGGGACATGAATAGAGATAAGATACATTGACATTCTATAGGAAACACAATGTACATGTTAAATACATTTTACATAATTACTCCAAATATCTGCTTGGAGATTAGATAATTAACAAGAAATCAGAGATTTCAGAGTCAGACTTCCTGTGAAGTATTTTGCATATTCATGACCTTAAAGTCCACCCCATTTCCTGTATCTGACCTTTTGACCTATCATCCTGCCTGTCAATCTTCCCCCACCATTGTGCTGTCAACCTACTTACGAGTTCACCCCAGTTCATGTGTTTGACCTTTTGACCCACCATTCTGCCTGTCAATCTTTCCCCACCCAAGTGCAGTCAACCTACTGTACCCAGACAAACATATACACAAACCCATAACTTAGCCACCCAAAACAATACTTCCGCACCCAGTAGTAAAAATCTTAACTGTTCTGGTCACGGAAGGGAAGCTGCAGCCTTAGCACTGATCCCCTGTCTATGCTAATAATGTAACTAATATAACACCAACGGCATACTAGAAAATCCTGGGCTGACCTCGCTGAACTTTCCCCTATCTCACAAACCCAGCCCGGCACTAAAAGATGTCAAATTTTTTAACAACCCAGATAAGAGAGATGAGATGGCTACTCATCACCTCAAAGTGTCAACTGATGGGACCGCTCATCCTTAGAACTTTAACCCCAAAACCGTCACCTGAGCTTATCTTACGGCAGTGTATGACTCCAGTGAGAGAAACTAAATAGGGTACCCGCCAATTGGTGACAATTTGCCAAGACCTACACTGTAAGGTAGTGTACTCAGTATGTTACACTGTGGGACTATATAACTTGGAATAGATGGTCACATTTTGGCTGATAACACTGGGACGTTATGAAAAGAAGATGGAGAGAAATGGGCCAAAATGGTTTGGAAAAAAATGGTTTGCCATTGAGAACAGAATTTCTCAAATATAGCAAGGTAAAAATATGTTACGGCTGTCAAAAATTACACTCTTGTACTGACAATATGCAAATGGTGATTATCAAAAGATACTTTTTTGGGATTATACTAAATATTTTTGCATACCACAGTCATTAGACTGATACCAGAGACATTGCTTTTCGTTTAATACCAATAACTTAATGTATAACTGGTAATTATCTAAAGATAATGAATTTAAATATACACTTCCCAGTCTTGTACTAAATATTTTCCATACCACAGTCCAAAGACTGATATCAAAGACATCGCTCTTCATTTATACCAATAACGCAATGTGTAACTCGGGTATTTATCTAAAGATACCGGTAATGCATAATCTTATCATAATATACACTTTCCAGTCTTGTACTAAATATTTCCTATCCCACAGTCCGTAGACTGATACCAGAGACATCACTTTAATACCAATAACGTCAGTGATTTCTCTCTTGCGTAGTTTTAGACCATGAATGATCAATATCGTACGGCGGTGTAATTTCTGCTGGCATTTCCGTCGTGATCCCGCCCAATCATGACAGACCCCCTCTCACAGATAACGGCCGGGCAACCGATGGGTTTTTGTCCTCGCGGGAATCGGATTTTTGTCCGAGATCACCTGACCACACCATTAATATTTCACTACCTGCAACGGCAAGGACTTTACGAGCGACTCGACTTCGGTGGAATAATTCCCGACATAATTTCGCTCTCCCGGCGCCGTAAATAGAAAGGCACGCAAAGACAGTAAAAAACCGGGAGAATTTCAGTGGCCGTTTTACTTTGACGAGCTGTTTATGGTTATTAATAAACCATGGTTCTATCTGATCGCATTACTCAAAATGATCTTTTCACCCCCTGGCTACACTTTATAATGCAACAAAATTTGACATAGATCACAAAATATTGAATGTACTAATAAATCTTGGTGTATCTACCCTCAATTTTGGAGGTCATATAACCCAATAACCATAAGATAGCCTTCGGCAAATTGGTATCTAAGTACGTAATTCAGCTGGAATTCCAGTTTGGCCATGACCTTGTGCTTTGGGTCTTTTGACCTTCAAATCTGGTTGGCAAATTTAAAGATATTCAAATGAGTCTAGACAAAGCAGCAGACCGATTAACCTATATACAGTAGTAAAATGTTTTTGCAGGGCAAACATGTTACAGAATCTAACAGCAGTCAGTACTTTAAAATTGTCAGGGTATTCAAAAGCATGTACATTTTCTATGTCATGTAAGAACAATGCATACATGTAATAGCTAGGTACAATAAAAACATAACAACCCCTTTTAAAAGAACCCCCAAATAAATGCAGCTACAAAGACTGTTCCTGAGTCATGGTAGATAGAGGTTTTATGGTCCATAAAATCCACATTATTACCGGAGGATTTCTAAGACCTTGTCGAAAACACGCTTAAGTTTTACAATGGGGTGTCCATAATCAACAACACGGGGCGTAAAATGGAACATAAATATTACTGTGAGCAAATAAATTGCTGGGATACCCTGACATCATTGCACCTGGTATTTTTATGGAAAAGCAGTAACCATTTTACTTAAAAAGACTATTTCAACCGTAATCTCTGATTCATAATATGAATCAGATATATGTATACTAGAAATTGAATGGTGCAATTGTATAAGTATTACAATTTTTTTTAGTTTTGATAGAATTTGTCTTTATCAAAATGATTTGGCACTGTCAAATAACAAATGGTAGAAAATACATTTTACTTACATTGAAATTGCAATGTATGAAACAGATCTATCCATCTATCAATCTATCTTTATCTACTAGATTCTAAATCAAATGGTATAATTTTGTATTTGACTCGTAACTTTGAGTTCTGATAGCATTTTTATTTACCAATAATTATTCCAAACTGTAGAAAACCCTCTATTATGAAAATAATCGATGCTTAAGTCAATAATCAATGTTACATCCTCGTCCTCACAGTTGTAAAAGACCGTGCTGGATTTGAAAACAGAAATCCTCCGGGGGGGAATTGATGGGGTCACCGTAAAGCGAGGCCGGGCCATAAATCGCGTCGGTTGGGAGAATTATCGGGATTCTGATTTGCAACACAACGGAACGGGGCGGCCTGTTCCCGCGAGAAATCCGCGAAATAAACACAGTAAATACTCCTTATTGGAAAAGTCATTAACGTGGCATCCCCGCGCCTGGTTTCCACGCCATCAGATGGTACATACGGCGTCCACACGATACGGGGAGACCCGGAATCGAAGCGGGGTTTTTGCAAGCAGGGCAGTAATGTCCTTGTTATGGTTGTGCGCGGGTCTGGGGTAAGCTGTTTTATTTATGAAGCTTGCTGGGGTCACTCGCGGGAAAACGCACAGCTGCGATCACTGTGGTTGGACGCACCGTCACAGGACGGTCAGGCAGCTAACATATGCGCTGTACATAAGGCATATATACATAAGATCCAACTTATACAATACAAATTAACAAAGTAAAACTTGCATGAGGACACTTTTATTTTCAATGTTAATGTTAGAAAACCAATTGTACAAATGTTGATCAGCTCGAAAAATTCCACCCAAAAAAAGGCAGAGAACATTTGCCCTGTATCAGTGGTAGAAATACTTTTTTTGCGGTGTTCTGCAATATTGTAGAATGTCAACATTTTGGTCTGCGGAAATACCTTCTGCAAATACACACTTAAAAGTCCGGATCTAAACCCTCGGCATATACAAAATTGCATGTTGGCAAACATTTTACATGCAAAAAACACCATTGAACCCTTTCCTGATTTTTTTTTCAGTCTGCAAAATTGCAGGTTACTTAATTTTTCTTCTGCATTATATTGAAAATGTCTCTACAAAATGCAGACTGCAGATGGGTATTTCTGACAATTGCAAGTTGTGTTTATACAGGAAGTTGGATGAAAATGCTCCTGGCAAAATGAAGCAGACTTGGAAGAGGGAAAAATGATGGCTTACTTGATGGTTGAAACATGCGCCGTAAAACTGATCATTAGCCTGCGCGGCTGATGGAGTAGATGCATGATAGGGAGGGTACCGGTCGTGTGTCTTAACGTGAAGCCCGGTAACCGGGGGACGGGCCATCTGTTTCAGGTGACAGTAGCCAATAGGAGGGTATACGGAAACAGGCACGGGGATCAACATGCTTCTTTTCTTTCACATACCTGGACTGGTCTGGTATTTCGAACACTGTACATCTAATGATTGAAACACAGGGCTGAGGCACAGCAGTCAAAATGTTCTTTTCTTGGCATACCTGGACTGGTCCAGCTAACAATTGAAATGACAATAGTAAGGTATAAGGAAACAGGCAAAGGGA